AAATTTTAATCTAAAAAAAAAAAAAAAAAAAAAAAAATGATAAGCGAACGAACGAAGTAACCCTTAAGGAGAAAAAACAATCTACTTTCCTACAGATTTCAAAAGACGACCTTGCAAGCCTTTTAGTACTGTCAGTAAATGATATCCAGTGTATGCTCAATGATTCCTAATTATATCCTTATGGATGGACTAACCGAGATCCACTCGTAACCTAGGAAGAAACTTTAACTCCATATCATCGGGACACCATGACACATTTCCATCAATCAGAGGTGCTTCAGTCAAATTTCCACGCACACTTGTGTGACTGTATGTAACAGTGCTGCCTGTTGCTTCCCTTAAAATTGAAATGTGGGTTGCTAGAATAGAATAAAATTTTAGAATTTTAAGCAAATTACTGACTTCTTACACCTAATGATAATATAACACCAGCTTAGAGGAGCTCAGTCACGGTATTTTGAGTTATTTTGGCAACGTGCTAAATTACTTTTAAATTAAAGGAAACCTGAAACTAAAAGTTAACTTACCATACACAGAAAAACACTAAAGATTAATAATAAACGACAAAGGAACAAGGATCGTTAAGGATGGAAAAGATTGACACGGACTGCAACCGACCAAGTTGAAAAATTTAGGCTAAACTTTTCAAGATGAGTGAAGTAGCTCCTTTTAACCATATAAAGCGGTTTTTAATGACCCATTTTTACGGTTAACTTTTCTTATTTGCATTACACTAGCATTTAGCATGTTTGTGAGGGAATTTCGGGCTATTTAGTTTCGGCCCGAAGTTGCCTCGAATCCACGCTGGATTACGTTGTAATTCAAAGGAGAAAAAAATTATCGTGAAAAGGGCTATATTGCTGTCGTAAAACCAAAACCAAAGTAATCATCTAGCAGTCACAAAGCGCACGGAAAGTCCAGTAAATCAATCGAAACTCAAAAAAAAAAAAAAAATCAAAACAAAACAAAACAAAAAAAAGGTAGCCTACATAAAAATCACGGGAGAGCATGTGCGAGTTTTATTTCTGGTTGAATGAAAAGGTAGCGCAATGTTTTTGAGCCAGTCATGTAGTGTAGAGACGAAAAAATAATATCTATAACGATTCGNAAGTTCACGTGTTATTCAGTAAAAGGCGCATTAAAATATCATTGTTATTTCTTACTAAACAAGTTGAAAAATCTTGAACGATCTCCTCATCTGCACCACCATCAACAGCAGAGGCAAAACAGTAGTTGTCGGGATAATCCATGGAGTCTTTTTTGCCTTGCAAAGTCAGCTCAGTTAAGAAAGCTTCGCGCCCTTCGGGAAAAATAAAAGCATCAAAATAATGTACTTATCTCTCTCACCTATATAAAAATTTTGACCCACTATAACAACGTTATAGGAAATATATAGTCACAGTAAAAGAGAGCGAAAAATGGCTTAAAATGAAAGAATAAGCAACCCAGGACAAAACAATACTGGAAGTAGAAAAAAACAACAACAAAAAAACAACAAAAAAACAACAAACAAAAAAACTTCCTAAGGACATAAAAGAATATTTTAACCCCATCCAGGCACCAAATATATTCAAAAACTGAAATGTCATACGCTATAATCTAAGAGTATTCACAAGAATATTTTTAGCCTAACATCGACAGAAAAATAAGAATATTCAGCCTTGGACAGAAAAGCAAAATTCTTATATAAAAAAAAAGGTGTAACGAAAAAAATGCTGGTTATAAGCTAGGGGCTGTGTAGTGACTTTGTAAGCAGTTTCATAACCGCCTACAGCTTGTAAAGTGGAGTTAATATCTGGAAAAAGTCCTCAAATAGTCATGAAAGTGGACTGAAACGAAATGGCTAAGGCTCTAGTGAAAAACAGCAAATTGATAAAAGATATAACCCCAGCATAACCTACATGTAGGACTACATGACTCTCAATAACCAGAGGAATAGCTTAGTTTTTGGTCTGCGACAGAAGTCATGATTTTAAATCCTTTATGATCCAAAGATGTATCCTCACGGTGTAAGGCTTCTTTAGTTTACAACGCTAGTGGCCCAGCAAAGTTTGATAATACACACTTGTACAATTTCAAGCTCTGGCTCTCATACAAACTATGAAAAACAATTCGAAGGTTGTGTTTATTTATTTTTTTTCACAACATTGGCATGTCACCCTCGTGAAAAGGAAACTTAGGAAACTAGTCTGAAACTAGTCCTGAGTCTTACACATGTAATATGTGCAGAGGGTACAATGTGTGCAGAGAGTTATGTAGCTGTAACCCTTAACACGCATTGCAGGCCTATGGTACTAGATTATAGGCATTCAATGTGTGTAGAGGGCACAGTATGTGCAGAGAGCTATGTAGCTGAAGTCCTTTACATGTATTGCAGGCCTATGGAACTGTGTAATAATGTTACTTTGCATTATAGGCATGNCAAAATGCAGGATTTGCATTAGTCCACTAGTTGGGTGATACTAATGTTACTTAGCATTATAGGCACGTAATGTGAACAGAGGGTACAACATGTGTGGAGAGCTATGTAACTGAAGTTCTTTACACACATTGCAGGCCTATGGAAGTATGCAATAATGTTACTTATTATTATAGGCATGTAATGTGTGCAGAGGGTACAATGTGTGCAGAGAGCTATGTAACTGAAGTTTTCTTTTTACACGCATTGCAGGCCCATGGAACTATGTAATAATGATACTTTGCATTATAGGCATGTAATGTGTGCAGAGGGTACAATGTGTGCAGAGAGCGATGCAACTGAAGTTCTTTACACGCATTGGAACCCTATGGAACTGTGTAATAATGTTACTTAGCACTATAGGCATGTGTGCAGAGGGTACAATATATGCAAAGAGCTATGTAACTAAAGATCTTTACACGCATTGCAGGCCTATGGAACTATCTTAGAATTAGCATTATAGGCATGTAATGCGTGCAGAGGGTACCATTTATGCAGAGAGCTATGTAGCCGTAGTACTTTACACGCATTGGAGGCCTATGGTACTAGTAATAATGTTACTTAGCAGTATAGAGATGCAATATATGCAGAGGATACAATGTGTGTATATGATAAGATGTAATACCATATTACTCTCACCAAACATTGAAGGCATGCAATGTCATAAGAGCGTATGAGAGCTACAGTTTTTGCTTTTTGCATGTATAGCAGGCCTACGGTTACTCACAATAAACTGGATTTTAACAAGTATATTGTTAAATATTTCCTCTCATTTCCTACAGGGCTCGAAGATACTTGGATTCCAGCTTGCCTTTTGGCCCACTGGGCAAGTGAGAATGAAAAGTTACTTGCCCAGCAGGAAAATCTGATTGTTCCGGGTTATTGGACAGCACCTTTTTTGAGCCCTGCCCAAGAACTATTTTCTGCTCTTACCTAAGTCAATCTCAAGTTTGCGTGTCAAGTCACTATCCTCTGGACACCAAGAATAGTCCCCATCTAATAGAGGGACTTCCCAGGACTCATTGAAAGATGAGCCATGGATTGTGGTGTTCGACAAGTGAATGAGACTGTCATTTAGCAGGTTACCACATTTTGCTGTTTTTCAAAAAAGAAAAAGAGCAGGGTTAGCAAATTAAGTTGCGCATGTGTACACATCACCTGGTTCTGCAAACTAAAAAGCCACCAAACTAAAAAAGCCAAAAGTGAAGTCTTATTCACTACAGACTATTTGGTTTAGGTATAGTTTAAATATTTGGCTTCACCAAATTAAATTGTAATGATAGGAGTCAGTATAATAAGTGCCCATGCCATGCATCAGTACTTAAGAAAATAAACTAGTCCACTAGCGGCAATGAAAAATCAAATATATTTCGTGATTGAATTTGAACCAGAAATTTTGGTGGTATGGAAAGCATTCCAGTACCCTTACATGTAGGTAAAACTCTTGCCCATTTTCACTAAGGAAATGATACTGTACAGCACAGTGACTGTGATATATTAACTTGTTTTAACTCTTTTAAAATGTAGTATTGGGATAGGCTAACCCTACTTCCTCATCTAAATGAACAACTATTGAAATTAATAATGTTGAAAATTAGCAAATTGGGCATGCACAGGTTCTACTTAATACGTAAAAGCATAACCTGCAAACAAATTATACACAGGACTGTTTGAAACATCAGTGCACCACTGTATAGTAAAAACCTGAAGATTATTGGCCAGGTGGGTGGTGTTGTGTTCTTGGGCACGACACTTTACCCCTATGGTGCCTCTCTCCACCCTGGAGTATAAATGAGTACCGGGGAATTTAAAGTCGCGATAACTCTGCGATGGACTAGCATCCCATCTAGGGGTAGTAGAAATACTCCTACATGCTTAAATTGCTATAGAGACTGGGATAAGCTCCAATCTGATAAGCCATTTGGCTGGTATACCTTACTGTACTAATATTTCAGTTTCCAATATTTTCAATATTATTTTCAGTGCATCCGACTGTATTCACCAACCTCCAAGAAGATAAACGTCATTTCCAAGAAAATCTCCCAGCCCTTCTAAACCACACAGCCCATCACCATATACACTGTAATTTAGATGAGCATGGGGACCAGAATGGCAGGCACCTTGGTCTTGAAGAGCAAACACTTTGTAGCCCATCTTGGCAGCTTCCAAAGCACATTTTTTAATAGGGTTAGCTCTTGTTGTGAAATTACCATCGAGGTACGTGGCATTCTCTGACTCCAAAGATGGAATTACACTGCTGACATTGTTGTCTTGGAAACACCCCAGATGTATGTATTCCACAAACTTGCCTGTAGAGACAATAAACATTCATTCATTCATTCATTCATCCATCCATTCATTCATTCATTCTTTCATTCACGTCTTGCTTAATGTCATGAATGGTTCACCGTAGGAGCACAGGGCTTATTTCTTTAGTCAGATAGGGTTACTTTCGGTTCTAATGGAGGAGGAAAAAATCGTTTGAGAACAAGTCTACAGTCGGGCAAGAGAGAGCACTGCGACAGAGATTCATGGGGATATCTCTCTTCTCCCATTTGAAAAAAAAAAAGTTCAAAANAAAAAAAAAAGAAAAAAAAAAAATAATAATAAAAAGAGAACAACAAATTTTGATTTGATTTTCCGGCAGGATAGGCTACCGCTTGACCTCAGTAAGCCTTGCCGGGTAAAAAATGACAGACAAACTCGCTTTGCTTCTTTTAACTTACTTATCTCACAGTTATCTCCACTGAATTCTGGCAGACAATCGCAGCTGTACCCACTAGGAATGCTAGTACATTTACCATTGTTATGGCATGGAGAGCTCACACATCTGTCCACAACTGTAGAACAAAGAGTAGCTT